GATGTGTAATTATTTAGACACCCCCTGAAGGATGTACTCCTGATGGCGAAAGGTAAAGCCGGTGAATTGCTCCTGAAATAGTGACTCCGTGATCACCACATCATTCTCCAAAAGTTATCATTCCATTTAACTCAGCAAAATTCAGTCGAGGCGAAAGCTTCCATCAGCTTAATCTGTTGAAATTTTGACACTTCCTTGAATCTATTTTTTTCCTTTTGTGCAGTTTTAATTTCAGCATACTCAAAAGTTATAGGACATCAGTAAAAACATTCCATCTTGTAATCACTGGTTGTCCCACTAGCTGTCTCTCTCAGAATCCTTTAATACCCCAAAGTCATTAACCTGAGGAAGTAGCTTAGTAAATCTTTCTACTCTACTTCAGTTTCTTCTAAATATTACATAAAAAGCAGATGATGGAGGGCTCATGCGTGAAGGAAAAAAGTTAGCCTTGTTTCCTTCACCCTTGATTCACATTTTACAAAGTTCACAGTATAAGTTCCACTGATGCCTGCAGGCCAATGAGTGCTTATGTGCAACGCAATGAGGCATTTCTGGGCACTGTGAGTCTGTAACTGTTTCAAAATAAAGTTACAAAATAGGCCACTTTTTCCCAAGAAGAGGGTATGGATGCCACTCCTAGTGATTTGATGATTTCTCCAGTACAAGGATCACTAATACCAAGTGGAAAAAAATTAAACAACCAGAAAAGCCAGTCAATTCATTTCCCTCTCTTATGTATTCTTACTACCCTCCACGCTTTAATCCTCATTAATGACAAAATGAGACAAATGCATATCGTTTCCAGAAATGTGCATTTTTTTAGTATAGTAAAAAGTTAGTTCAACTATCATTTTCTATTTTCCAGCACTCAATACCTCTATAATAGAGAATAACCAATGTTTATCATAACATTTAGAAACTGCAAGATCTTGAAATGCTTTCTGAATGGCCACAAGAAATGTTAAGTTACATTGAACAGGATCTCAATGTTGAAATATGTTTTTCCCCAAATTTTTTGTTATGAGGGTTTTTATATATACAGAAATGTTGAAATACCATCATAGACACTAGTATACGGTCTTAAATTCATTAATTGTTGATTTTTGCTATATTTCTTTCACTCTTTATCCCCATATGTGCACGTGTGAACACACACACACAACACACATACATTTTTTGTTGTTTAAGTGTTGGAAAGTAAGTTGCAGACATTTTGACCTTGGTTGAAATGTATTTTAATGTATTCTAATTCTATGAAATGTAGTTATCTATATATAAAGTACACGATAGTATATCCATTTATAAAATATATGGTAATTTAAAAACATTTTTATTATAATTATGTGTTAACTTCCCACAGGGATATTTTATTAGCCAAAACAGCCAATTGTCTGACTATGACAATGTACTTTATATTCATCATCAGTATTAATTCTGTCCTGTACCTGACCACCAATGGGATATGGATTTCTCCATAACAGTTGGTGCTTCAGTCTGTCTTCCCATGGATAAACTAGAGTATTTCTCTGTCACCCAGACATATGAGTGCTTAAGAGATTCTCAGTGATGATCAGGGTGTTTTTTAGGGCAATAAGTCTCTTACTGCTAATGTAAACTAAACTCTTCTGAAAATAGTAAGCTATGAGAAATTAAAATTTATATTTAATAATATTAAGCTTAGTAATAGTAAAATATTAAGTTATGAGAAAGGTACTTAATATTGCCACAAAATAAAATTTGGGTAAACTGTCCCAAAAAAGTATTTAAACAGATCTTGGGAAAGAGAATTATCAAACAGTTATCAAATAATTAACTGTAGAAGAGATAGACAACCTTTCTTGAACTTAAAAACATTTATATATGAATTTAATCACTTATAAACTGGATGATGTTTATTATGTTTATTAACTTTCTTCAATGTGATATGTCTTACTCATCTTCAGATAAAATATTGAATAGAATACTTTGAAATTCACCTTAGAGGTCTTCTGGCTCTCTCTTTTTTCTTTTTTTTGGTGAGGAAGATTGGCTCTGAGCTAATATCTGTTGCCAATCTTCCTCTTTTTGCTTGAGGAAGTTTGTCGCTGAGCTAACAGCTGTGCCAATCTTCCTTTATTTTGTATGTAGGACGCCACCACAGCATGGCTTGATGAGTGGTGTTTAGGTCCATGCCTGGGATCTGAACCTGTTAACCCTGGGCCGCCGAAGCGGAGTGCACAAATTTAACCGCTATGCCACCAGGTTGGCCCCAGAGGTCCTCTCTTATAGATAATATTATGAGTGGAATTATGTCCCCTGAAAAAGATATATTGAAGTTCTAACTCCCAGTACTTTGGAATGCGACCTTATTTAGAAATTGGGTTGTTGTAGAATAAGTAGTTAATTTAAGGTGAGGTCGCCCTGGAGTAGGGTGGGTCCCAATCCAATAGGACCAGTGTCCTCATAAGAAGTGGGAAATTTGGACACAGACATGCACAGAGGGAAGATTATATGAAGATGTGCAAGGGGAAGATGGCCATGTGACAAAGGAGGCAGAGATTAGAGTAATGTATCTACAATAAGGAAAGCCAAGCAATTGCTGGCTGTCACCAGAAGCAAGGAGAGAGGCATGGAACAAACCCTCCCTCAGCATACTTAGGAGGAATCAGCCCTGCCAACACCTTGATTGCAGACTTCTGGCCTTCAGAACTGTAAGAGAATAAACTTTTGTTGTCTTAAGCCAGTTTGTGGTAGTTTCTTATGGCAGTCGTAGGAAACTCCCACAGATAGATGACAGATAAATAGACTAACTTTCAGACGTCTTAGATTTAGGTCTAGTAGTAAAATTAAGACCTGAGGATCTATCCAGCAAAGTAGTATAGTGGTCCCAAAGTTGTTAGTTGAACCACATAAAATTTGCCATTTTTATAGGAAGAAATGGCTTAATAGAGGCAATTTTATGTGGCTCAGTCTAATAGATAGATTACATAAATAAGTCAAGTTTTCTGAAACCTCCTTTTCCCCCCAAGAGCAGATCCTTGGCTGAATTTGCTAGGAAAATACTTTATTTTCCCTGCACCACTTTCCTTCTGTAAATGGATTCTTAGCCTTCATTCATTTCATTCATTTAGATAAGGAAGTTTCCATCTCCATGACCTATATGGAATGAAACATTGGAGGCAATTGCTCTTTGAGGTTTTGCCTGCAATTGCTCTCATTTACACATCTCTGTGCATTGTTTATGCTGGGAGACAATCCTGGGAATTCCTTCTAATTCACGTTCAAAGCTGAGGTTTCTCCAGGGGATTTTCTCTCATTCCATTTGCCGCAACAGTAAGTGTGTTTGACAACATCTGCCTCACAGCACTGCTCTGCAGCTCATCTGACACTTGGTTCCCATCCCCATTCTCTTTCTCCCTGTCTTCTGAGGAAGATGTTTCCACAACAGAAGTGGAGAAGAGAAGACAGCAAGGGCAAACCAGAGTTTTCCTTTCCCAATGAATATGAGTCACGAACCTGCCAAGCGTCTTCACCTATCTCTTATTCCAATCCATCCAAAGATGTTTGACATAAACCAACATTCTTTAAACCAGACCTTTGGCCTTTGGGACTCAGCATTCACAAGTCATTTCTGAATTTTTTTTTGGACTTTCATACATCTTTCAAAATTTCCTCAACTATGAAACAAAAATAACCACTCACAAATTTTATTGACAATTTTTTTAACCAGCAAGAAAGGATACAACCAAGTCCAAAAACATCTCGTGTGTGACTACTGCTAAAGCATGCCAATTTGTTTGCATAAAAATTAGATATTTAACAGGAAATTCTATTTCATGAAATGTTTAATAATCCTTAGTTCAAATAAATTTTATGACCATAGGAAATTGATTTAAGAGAAAATTCCAAACCTTATCAACCAAAAGATTCCCCTACATTCCAGGACAACCTAAATCATTGCCTACACCAAACAAGAAATCCAGAACATCGAGTTTATTGGTAGAAATTGCCATTCAAATTATTACCTACTTCAATTAAACTGTCTTTGTTAGCTACGTCTTTAAATTCTAACAGATTGTTTCAAAATGTCATTCTACTTCTACTCGACTAAAAACCCTGTGCCATTATTCTCTTCTTCATCATATGAAATTCTAAAATTTCCCTGTGCCAGACAATACATAGACAGCTGGTGATATTAAGCTGCCTTTAGGAAAAAAAAAAAATCCCTTGGCCTAAAAGATGTATTATTTGACTTCAAAATTTATGATATTTCTCTTTCAGCACACTTTACAACTGGGTTTCCAGAAATGTATGTATCTCACATATTTTTTCACACAAAATTTGAGAAAGGAAGAATGTGCTATAAAAGAATATGTGTCTTTTTTGTGGTTTTATAAGGCGAAACCACCTAAGGACAGAAAGTGCAAGGAAAGCATTACAATGATCAACACTCTCTGGGCACAGGCAGTCTTCCCTCTGGGCTGGCATTTGTATTCTGAACTTTTATCTGCTGCGTTTCTCACGCATTGGAGATGAGCCTAAGTAACTTTTGCTCCCCTCAGCTCTCCTGCAAGTATAGGGCAAAAAGAAGCAACTCCAAAACACAATCCTTCCTTCTTGTTCAAATACAAACTTCTTAGATGGGCGGGTTCAGTCCCAGAAACATTAGCATGGGTCCAGCTGTACTTTACTGAAGCAAACCCAACACTCGAGAATCTGGGCATATATGTATATCTAAAAGCATGACTGGTATACAAAGCAAGGTTTACCTGCCAGCTCTAAATGTTTTTCCTTTCCACACTTCTCCTCCCCACAGCCTCACCCGATCTGAGATCTAGTAGCTTTCGGTCACGCGGTTTCCATCAGACACAACCCCTCTGGTTGCACTTTCACAATCAAGATTCTAATGAGTTCATTGTACATAGCGGCTCTCCAGCCCCTTTGTCCCTTGAATCAGGGCTCCTGGCTTCTCCAGGTCACAGATCCTTTAGAGATGCTATTATATAACGAAATAAACTTACTGTTTTCTTTAACACTTTGAGAGCATAAGGCTTCTGGGTCCCCTTCTGTTTGCATCTGTACACAATGGATGTAGCACCCCTTGAGGGGGAAAAAGACAAAAAGAAAATGTTATGCTCTGGACGTGAAATAAAAGGGAAAGCTTGAAAATAAGTGTCTCTTGCAGTTACCCTCAGAACTGACAAGTGTTTATAAGTTCTACTGCAGGACCAGGCCAACTGTCGAGAGTATTTTTTCTCTTGCAACTGAGTATAGTTTGCTCAGGAAAATTCTAGGTTTTCCCATCTGCTCTTTTCCTCCTGCCCCCTCCTATGCAAGTAACAAATCTAGGGCTGTTGCATTCAGTGGCTCTGGAATAAACCAGGTCCTCAGGTGAACATAGCTTTTGGAGCACATCCACCCAATTTCAGAATCCCTGAGCTTTCCTAAGGGCATGTGTCTGGAGTAAAAGAAAGCATATGGCTTTCAGAAGAGGGTTTAAGTTTAGCACTTGGCTACAAGGGTCAGAACAGTATCCACTACTTGGCAAGGGAGCTGGGGACCCTTGAGAATTTACACCACTTCGTTTGGAGCCCTGGCATTCTCCCAGAGCCAATGTTGGCCCCACAGAGATTCTGGTTCCTTCATCCTGGTGAATATTGCTACCACTTAGTTACACATGCCCTAACAAAAATAATCAGGTGAAACATTCAGGGGGAAATACTATTCAAATGGTTAAAGGTATATATAGAAAAAGTAGAGTTATCCCTCCATAAACAGCTTGGAAAAGTACAGAACATTTTTCACCTGTAAAGGAGAATGGTAGGAAGAGACTCAGTGGCTAACTTCATGTATGTGTGAGGCCACTAAGGGAGAATATTAAAAAGCAGGACAATGTGGTCCTGTTGCTCCCACTCCACACATGAGAGCGAAAGTAAGAGACGGAGACAGACGAAGAGACCCACAGACCAAGCTTGTTTCACCCTCAAAAGGAGAACTTCAGATAAATCTTAAAATAAGATCACTTGCGGTAAATCTGCCAGACTTTGAAGATTAAGCCCAAGGACCTCTTATGATATATTCAGTCCTATAGTTCTGAAACTCTAAGAATTATACAAATCAAACAAAGTCCCAGCTGCCTAAGCACAACAAATTTTTAACAGAGCCAGGAGGAGTCAGAGACTGGTGTTGTAAACGCTAATAAATTTTAAAAAATTTCAACATATTTTTAAAAACTATGGTAAAATATAACATATACATAAAGAAATAAGGGGTTCTAGAAATGGAATAAATGGAGGTAAACATAAAATTTATCTTTCCTTAATTTTCGTTAATCTAAAAGACAACTCCCGAAAGTAAAAATACTAACAATGCGTTGTGTTTATAGCATATGTAAAAATAAAATGTATGGCAACAACAGCACAAAGAATGGGGGGAGGAAATTGGAAGAATACTGTTAAGTCCTTATACTACATATTAAGTTGTATGGTATTATTTAAAGGTAGACTCTGATTAATTAAAGATGTGTATTGTATAACCTAGGGCAATGAATAAAATAATTTTTAAAAGAAAAATTAATAATAAATCAATGACAGAGCTAAAATAGAATAATCAAAAATGAAATGCAAGAGAGGAAAAACAAAATAAGAGATCAAAAAATAAAACAGCTAACAATATGGTGGATTCTAATCCAACCATATTAACAATTACATTAAATGTAAACCTTATAAAGACATCAATTAAAAATAAAGATCATTAGGGGGCCGGCCCAGCGGCACAAGCGGTTAAGTGCGCGCGCTCCACTGCGGGGGCCCGGGGTTCGCTGGTTGGGATCCCTGGCATGCACCAATGCGCTGCCTGGCAGGCCATGCAGTGGCGGCGTTCCATATAAAGTTGGGGAAGGTGGGCACCGATGTTGGCCCAGGGCCAGTCTTCCTCAGCAAAAAAAGAGGAGGATTGGCGATGTTAGCACAGGGCTGATCTCCTCACAAAAAAATAAATAAATAAATAAAGATCATTAGATTGGATTGAAAAATCAAGAACAAACTATATGCTGTGTACAAGAAACCCATTTTAAATATAAAGGCATAAATAGGTTAAAAATAAAATGACAGAAAAGAGATACTATGCAGACACTAATCAAAAGAAAGCAAGAATACACATATTAATACCAGGTCAACTAGACTTCAGAACAAGGGTAAAGAGGGACGTTAATTATGAAGCGTTCAATTCCCCTAAATGACATAACAAATGTAAACGTTAGGTGTATGCACCTAACAACAGCACTTCAAAATGCATGAAGCAAAACTGATAGAACTGAAAAGAAAAATAGACAAATCCACAAACACAGTTGGAGACTTCAACACATACTCTCAGCTATTGATTTAAAAAGTAGACAAATTGCCACCATGAATATAGGAGACATGAACAGCACTATCAACTAAATTAACCTAATTGACATTTAGAGAAAACGCCACACGAAAACAGCAGAATACACATTCTCTTCAAAGTTAGAGGACTTACATACTTGACATCCAGGCTAACTATAAAGCTACAGTAATCAAGAGAGTAGTATTGGAGAAATAATAAACACAGAGACAAATGGAACAGAAAAAAGAATCCAGAAATAGTCTTACACATATATGGCCAATTAGTTTCTGACAAAGTAAAAAGGCAATTCAGTGGAGAAAGGAGAGAGAGTTTTTCAACTAAAAATAGTCTTGGAATAATTAGATACCTATATGCAAAGAAAAAAAAACCTTTATTCATACCTCACACTCTATACAAAAAAATTACTTAAAGTGGATCATAGATATAAATGCAAAATTTAGAAGTCTAAAACTTTTTTAAAAAACATAGAAGAAAATTTTGTGACCTTTAGTTAGGCAACAATTTCTTACATAAATAACCAAAAGCACCATAAATGAAAGAACAAATAAATAAATTGGATTTCATTTAAATTAAGAATGTTTGGGGCCAGCCCCGTGGCTTGGTGGTTAAGTGCACGCACTCCGATGCTGTCGGCCAGGGTTCGGATCCCGGGTGTGCACCGACGCACCGCTTCTCCGGCCATGCTGAGGCCGCGTCCCACATACAGCAACTAGAAGGATGTGCAACTATGACGTACAACTATCTACTGGGGCTTTGGGGGAAAAATAAATAAATAAAAATTATAAAAAAAAAAAATTATAAATTAAGAATGTTTGTTCTTTGAAAGTCACAGACAGGGAGAAAATATTTACAAATCACATACTTGATAAAGAGCTTGTGTTCAGAATTATAAAGAAAACAAACAATGTATTTAAAAAGTGGGCAAAAGATTTAAACATATACTTCACCAAAGAAAATATATGGATGGAAAATAAGCACAAGGAAAGATGCTCAACATCATCAGTCATTAGGGAAATGCAAATTAAAACCACATTGAGATACAACTACATATTCATAGAAACAGCTTAAAGAAAGAGAGAGACAATATCACGAGCTGGCAAGGATGCAGAGCAACTGAAACCTTCGTACATTGATGGTAGGAATGCAAAATGCTACACCGACTTTGGAAAACAGCTTAGCAGTCTCTTGCAAAACTAAGCATACCATAAAATTCATCCATCTCACTCCTAGGTATTTACCCAAGTGAGATGAAAGCTATGTTCAGACAGGCGGAGTCAAGATGGCGGCGTAAACAGACTCGGAACTCACCTCCTCCCGTGGACACAGCCAATTTACAACTACTCGTGGAAAAATGACCCCTGAGACAGAACTGAAAACTGGATAACAGGAACTCCTGCAACAA